AAAAAAAAAAAAAAAGAAAAATGGGCTTCAGGGCAGCATGGCCTCAGCTAAGACTCAAGACATGTGGATCTCAGGCTGTCAAATGTCAGTACACAACTTTTTTTTTTTGGTGAAACCGGGGATTGAACTGAGGCCCTTGCACTTGCCAGGGAAGTGCTTATTCCACTAAGCCATCTCCCTGGCCCAGTACACAACTTCTTCACTTCAGGAATAGTGCAATAACATGTTCCGTTCCTGAACAATCACATAGGAAGGAAATAAATTCCAAGCCAGTCCTTGGAGCCTGAGACAATGGCCACAAAATGCATAAAAGAAATAGCTCACACTCTACAGTGTAAGTCACAGGGGACAAGCTTTCTGGAGCAGCTCTAGTGGTAAGAATGTGAATACCTGGTCAGGGAGGATGGATGCAGCTAAAGTACACTCTCAGTGTGTCAGGACTGCTGTTTTCCAAAATAAATGTCTTGCTTTGGATTTGTGCCTGATATCACAAAATGCCTACAATTTCAGTGGTTTCTTCCCTTACCCCTTGCACCCCCAGCTAGCTACCTTACCACCTACAGTGGCAGCAGAGAAGGCTGACCTGCGGCCGCAGCGCTGCCAATGGCCTGTAGAGTTGAACGACCACTGCCAGTTCTTCGAATGGTGCTGTTAGTGCCATCTGAGTTCTGGTTTTCAATCTTGTGCTCCACTCGAGCCAGCTCCTGGATCACTTCCTGGTAGCGCTCCACAAACATCAGTTCCCCAGCACTGGGTGAGGACTTCAGGTTGAATGTGAAGACCACCTGTCATGGAAAAGGGAGGAGCACGGCTGTGGTAGGCCCACTACATCAGGGAATGTAGAGAGGAAGTCTGGCCAAGTCGTTAGACTATGGCTCTATGTTACTGGCTTTGTAGGGTCAGAAATCCACTGACTTGATCAAAAAGTAGATCAAAGAAAATCACTCATAACTTTTAATTGTTATGTAAAGAAAGCCATCAGAAGCCCAGTAAAAGATGCAGACAATTTCAGAAGAAATAGTTATAACTAGTACAGACATGGGAAAATATTTGCCTTTATCAATAAGCCAGCAATTTAGGTAACTATACTATTTTGCACATAGAACAATAGTGAAGTGCAAAAAGGAATCCTTGGGATAGTGCATAATTAAACTGTCATAATTGTTTTGAAAAGTAGTTTCCAATAAACTATAAAATTTAAAACTTTTATTTATTTTTATTTTTATTTTATTTTGTTTTTTTTGCGGATTGAACTCAGGCTTTTGTGCTTGACAGTGAAGCGCTGATTCCACTGAGCCATCTCCCCGGCCCCCAAAATTTAAAACTTTTGATGTAGTAATTTTTTGTAAAAAAACTTTTTAAAGAAATTAACCCAAAAGAATTGATGCTTAAAGGTGATTATCTTGGCATATTACAACTGTAAGACAGCTGAAAAAAATCAAAAAGTTAGCCAAAAGGAAAATGGAGAATGCTACTTGCTGATATTACTATAAGGTCACTAATTTCAAAGTTACAAAGTAAAAGCTTACAGTATACTATAAAAAAACACAATGAGAAATCATTTTGGCTATATAAAACCATATGGATCCCAGAAAAATATTAGCTCAAAATACCCAGTATCTTCAATATTGGTTGTTCCATACAATAAGGTTAAAAGAAACTTTATTTTCTTGCTTACATTTTGTGGTATTTTCTTAAGATATATAAAACTTGTTTTGTAACCAGGTTAAAAATCAAGCTTTTATTAAAAAAAAAAATCAATCAATCAATCAATCAATTAATCAAGGCTATAGGAAACAAGGTGAAGTGGAGGTCACTGAGGGGTAGAAGTGTCATGAGACTCCCAGCCAACTGTCATTATGTTTGGATTTAAGAAAGACTGGGGAGCCAGGGATATAGCTCAGCAGCTTAAGCAACTAACTGCCTGGCAAGCACAAGGTCCTTATTTTGACTCCTGGTACCAGAAAAGAAAAGAGAAAACAAAAGAAGAGAAAAGCAAAAAGAAAAGATAGATACATAGACAGAGGGGAAGGAAGAGAGGAAGGAAGCCTGGGGAGCAAACAATAGCAAAAATTCAGAAAGCCAAGACCCCAAATTTTCGGACTGGGTATGTGGTTAAGTTGTGTGTGCTTACAGATGTGCGTCAGACCCCGGGGTCTATCCATAGAACCACAAAAACGGTAAGACAAAAAGAAAGGCTGGGAGAGGTCCCATCTTCCCAAAGATTCATAATTATCATTATCATTAAAGTAGGAGATCTAAGGTGATCAGGGGAAGCACTTTAAATATTTTTTGCTTCCAGACAGGATCTTGCTAAGTTGCCAAGATTGACATCCTTTTGCCTTAGCCACCCAAGGGGCTGGGATTACATATGTGCCTCTATGCCCAAGAAGAGTCTGATTACAGCTCTAATGCTAGTGAAGTGTCAACATTCCGTCCTGCTAGCCCCTCTACATCTCATTTACTGGCCTGGCTTTATTACTGAAAACTGTCTGCATGACGGTTTTTTTTTTTTTTAATTTTAGGGAAGGGTCTACAGGGTGTTCAGGGTCTTACTACTAGATCAGACTCGTAGTGATACACCTGTTTACAGCCTCCCAAGAGCTGGGATTACAGGCATGCGCTACCACGGCAGGCCAGGGGATCGAACCCTGGGCCCCTGCGCCTGCTTGCAGGAGCTTTAATCTGCTGAGCTATTTGGCCAGCCCTGTGTGACAATTGTTAAACTACATGAAAACATGGACATGTTCTAAATCCGAGCACCAGGAAAGAAACAAAATCATTTCAATGATCTGAACTGGTAAGAACATGGTTAAATATTTTCTTTTACCTTGTTAGGATGCTTTAACATAAACATTAACCTTGAACAAACAACTCAACCTCTCTGAATCTGCAATCCTGAGGACTGGGTCTGAACTCATGGAAACTCCCTTCTGCTTCTCTTTCCAGTGTTGTTCCGCAAGTGTTCCTGAGTGGCTCTGGTGTCACATACATCGAGCTGTCCTCAAAACTCAGCATACCATAGCCACGGGAGCTGACTTAGCATTCTTTGCGAGGACAAGGGGCAGCCAAGGCTCCCTCACCTGATGGGCTTCTGCGAAGTTCCCCCGGAGGATACAGGATGCTAGCAGTGACTCGGGTGGGGAGAACATCATGGGCAGGAATGGGCTTTGAGGATGGGGCTGCGATCGGCTATCCAGCTCATTCCGCCCGGACACGGCGCTCAGACTGCCCTCTATTGGAACACAAGGACATGGGGTTCAGGGAAGCAAGATAAACTGAGGAAAGACCATAAGGCAGCTACCTCCAACCACATACTTACCTGTTCAAAATTCTTCTCTAAAAGAGCCTTGATTTCTCCTTGAGTGAAGTGCTAACCTATGTTATCATCACAGAAGGCCAGACACGTATAATACCAGCCACTTTTGCTAGGCAATCATGTTTCTCTCTGTTGATGGGTTCTTCAACTGAGGGTAAAACAATGCAATCCCCTTTCCCCGCTGAAATCTGCTCAGCTATCTGCAGCGCCAGTTTTCTTAAACTCAGGCTTGAATTTGGCAGCTAGTTGGGACCTACATACCTGAAGTACTTGTGCTCTGTTCACTACTCATACTTTCCAAGGAAGGGCTGGAGCCTTTGTCCCGGCCATCTAAAGTGTCAGGAAGAAGAAAGAAACTTATTCAGTTTCTTACAGTGCAGAACGTGCAAGCTGGTCTGAAAGTTAAGATCCAGACAGAGGAAAGCATAATGGGCACGCACACTGTTCTGTCAAAGGCAAACATAAGTGTAATATGGCCCCAGAGCTCATTCGGGTTGTAGTCTGTACCAGCTGGCCCAACTGGTGGGTCTCACAGCCCTAGGAGTTTTCCCATTATTTCTAGGGGTCAATGGCCACCCTCTGCTCAATAAGTACTGGCAATAATCTGAAAAAACAAAATCACAACTACTACAAGCAGGAAGCAACAGGATGCAAGGGATCCTAACATAGCCTGACAAAAAGAAAAAGGTATTCTCAGACTTGAAAAGGTAGGGAACTAAAGCACAGGGCCTGGCTTGCCAAAGACCACCACATTCAAAGGCCCCGAGGAAAAGCTCTCATCAGTCAGCTTGCCGGAAGTGCTAGGGCTGCCAACGGAGGCTTGCTGTCCCTTAGTGGGTCCTGGAGGGCACTATCATCCTATGCAAGGCAGCTCCCTGGGCCCACTGACTGGGCTGCCCTTCAGGAGCAGCCAGCTACAAGAAAGAGATGATGGGTTTCGACTCCTGGGCAAGGAAAGTCAAGTGAAAGCAAACTTTGCCTTCTGAGCAATTACTCGTGCAGCTTCAGGGCCTTAGCAACCATCTTTAAAGTTTTTCCAGTTTTCTCTTATGGCAACCTCCATCCTACCTAATGTGTTTATCTTTCTTTTTCATTTAAAAATATTTTTAAAAAATCATTTATTTATTTATTTGGTGCAGGGTCTCGCTATGCAACCTGGACTTGTAGTGATCCTTGTGTCTTAGCCTCCTCAGCAGGGGGACTGTAAGTGTTACAGGTCTGCGCCACCATACCTGCCTCCGGCTGGCACGGTGTGTGGTACTGGGGATTGAACCGGGTCCTTGTGCTTGCCAGGCAGGTGCTTAGAACACTAAACTATCTCCCCAGACCCTTTTCACCTTTCTTAGTGCCACTTTGCTGGTGAATATTCATTTTTTTTAGGAGCTCAGTTTATATAATCTCATGAACTAAGCTCCAATTTCATGTAATTCCTTTCCCTGAAAGGAACGGGTGTAGGCTGGTGCACCCGTTTCCAGGTAACACCTCAGTTTAGTTTTTCATGTGTACTGGTTATTCAAGTAACTTCCACATTCTTTGGAGACAAAGGCTGTGTTCATGCTTCATTTATCTTTGGGAAGATACTTTTTTTTTTTTTCTGGTACCAGAGATTGCACTCAGGACCCTGTGCTTGCCAGGCAGACACTTATTCTACTGAGCTATCTCCCCAGCCCAAGATACTATTATTGTTCAGCATATAGGAAACTCTTAAAGTCTGCTTAGTATGCCATATCATACAATGTTCATCTGTATGTTCTTAAACGTTTAAGTTGTGTCCAGTTTTTTACTATTAAAAATAATACCAGCCAGGCATGGTAGCACACTCCTGTAATCCCAGCTACTCAGGAGGCTGAGGCAGGAGCATCAGAAACTCAAGGCCACGCCAGGGAGATAGCTCTGCAGTCTAAGTGCCTACCTGGCAAAGTACAAGGGCTCTTGTTAGCTGTGTGAAATATCAGCACCAAAGGCCAGAATGGAAATTTGATTATCTAAAAATTATAAAAAGCACTTCTGTATAATGATACTATACTAAATTTCAAAAAAAATTTTTTTACTCTAAAGATAAAATAGAAAAAAAAGAGAAAATAGAGAAAAAGTTATATCAATCTATTGCTTTAATGCATACATAGCTTTCTGTAGCTCAACAAAAAAGATGAACCCACTAGAAAAATGCATCTTACTTATTAGGCAACTTACAGAAAAATACACATAGCTAATAGGTATTTGAAAGAAATGATCTCGGGGCTGGAGAGATGGCTCAGTGGTCTAAAGCACCTACTTAGAACAAGCTTGGCAAAGCATCAGGGACCGCGGTTCAATCCCCCAGCACCACATGCCAGCCAGTCCCGCCCCCTGGTGGGCTGAGCTGGCCATACACACACACCACACACTCTCTCTCTCTCTCTCTCTCTCTCTGTCTCTCAAATAAATAAAATAAAATAAAAAAAATTAAAAAAAAAAAGAAATGATCTCAACCAAACCAAAAAAAGTTAATACTAAACAATTAAATATCATTATTGTATTATACTCATAAAGATTTTCAAAATTCTGGTATTATTCATTGACTAATATATGCATAAATAGCTGGTAGAAATATAAATCAGTTTACAATTTTTAGGCAATTTAGTAATACTGATGATTTTAATGGAAAAACATCACTGACCTAGCAATTCTAAGTATACTCTACACTCAAATAAATATGCAGATATGTGCAAGATTGTTTTCTATATATTTTGTTTTGTTTTTTGTGGCGGAACCGGGGATTGAACTCAGGCCCTTGCACTTGCCAGGGAAGCGCTTATTCCACTGAGCCATCTCTCCAGGCCCTTGTTTTCTATATTTTTATTTTCTGCTTTTTCAGTGCTGGGGACTGAAAGCATGTTCTAGGCAAGTGCTTTAGTGCTGAGCTATCACTTCAGCTATGTTATTTTGACAGATGGTCTTGTTAAATTGCCCAGGATGGCCCTGCATTTTATTTTATTTTTAAATCTTTTATGCATTTATTTGGTACAGGGTCTCACCTTGCAGCTCAGATGTGTAGTGATCCATCTTCCTATCTTAGCCTCCCTAGTGCTGGGATTACAGGCATGCACCACCACACCTGATTTTAGGGCCGGCATGGTGTGGGACCGGCACAGTATGCAGTGCCAGGGACAGAACTTGGGTCCTTCCTTGTACTTTGCCAGGTAGGTACTTAGACTTCAGAGCTATCTCCTGGCTTGGCCTTGAGTTTCTGATGCTCCTGCCTCAGCCTCCTGAGTAGCTGGGATTACAGGAGTGTGCTACCATGCCTGGCTAGTATTATTTTTAATAGTAAGAAACTGGACACAACTTAAATGTTTAAGAACATACAGATGAAAAATTATGAAAAAAAAAGAACATACAGATGAACATTATGTGATATGGCATACTAAGCAGACTTTTAAGGGGAGAGAAGGAAAATTTCAATATATAGCATTACATATCTGTATCTACAACCAGATATAACACAAAAAAGGAAGCTGCGAGTTACATTTCTATCACTATCACACATGCATATATGAAAGGATATAATATATTCGTATTGCATAAAGAATTATGCAATACAAACATATAGTATATAGTATCTTCTGGAAGATTATATAAGAATATTAACAAAAGAGTCAACTTAAGGGGGTGGGGCTAGGATATTCTTACATTTTTTTGTTTGACCATAAGTTGTATTTATCTCTTAAATTTTGATTAATATGATACAGCATCTCACTATCAGTTTGGCCTTCCCAGTGCTAGGAGTACAGGTGTGCACTACCACACCTGGTTTCGGCATGTGATACAGGAAACTGAACCCTGGTCCTTAGGCTTGCTGGGCAGGCACTTAGACTTTGAGCTATCTCCCAGCCCCTATGAGCTCTATTTTACAGGATGTTTGTTTCCATTGATTGTTTTGTTTTGTTTGGTACTGGGGACCAGACTTAGGACCTTATGCCTGCCAGGCAGGTACTTGTGCCACTGAGCTACCTCCCCAGCTTATCTTAAAGGATATTAGACAATGGGCAATACACTCTTGCTTGGCATGAGAGAAAGCAGGGTGTGGGGAGTGAGCTCTTCAGATTACCTGCCCTGCTCCTTCTTGTCCGACGACCCCTGCGGAGACTAGAGTGCCTTGGGGCAGTTGGCAGGTACCTTCGGGAACGTGGCTCCTCTGAAATAGCAAATATAAGGAGGGTGATCAACTGGGGCATGACCTTCTGCCTGGGGAGGCAGGAAGTGCACTGACATCCAAGGCATGGAGTGCTACTCCAGGGCTCTGAACTGGCTGCTATGGCGATGTGTCCTGATTTAGGGAGTGACTCTCATGCACTTCTGCCTCTCTCCCTTGTTTTTTTTTCCCCTCCCCACTTTCTGGGCTTGTTCTACTCCCTTCTCTCACCTGAGCCATGGTTGCTTGTTATCACCTTGTACCTCCACTGGGCCTCAGAAAGAACCTTAGAAAACTGGTACAGGCGGCTCTGCAGTCCATCTCGGCTTCCTGTGTAGCTCTGGCCTTCCGGAAGCTTTGCCTTATCGGGGCAGCTGTGGCCACTGATCCTGTCTAGCTGCTCCTGAAGAAGCCCAAGGAAGGCCCCTACTGCAAACTCATCAGCCAGGAATCCATGGATACCCTTCGTAAAGTGCTTTAAATCCAAAAAATTGCCATGGGGCCCCGGGGAGCTATCTGCAGGCTGTTCTTTTAGACAACTTGGTATTGTAGAAGCCAGGTTCCTGGGTGCTCCAAGGGAACCCTGTTCTGACTTCCTCTCAGGCTGGCCTGCATGCTGAGGGCTTTCTGATGGCGACCTCATATCCGAGGGGCCTTTGCCCTCTGTGTCATCATCCTCAGCATAGTCCTCAGGCAGGTGAGGCTCTGGGTGAAGATCAGCAGAGGTGATGAAGAGCAAAGAGAAGATGTTTTCTAGAAGTTCCAGGCACAAAGAGTCAGGGACACTGCACAGGTACTGTTGACACCTGGCCAGGTAAGTTGAGAAGAGATGGGAAGCACCTAAAGAAGCACGTGCAAGAGAAAAGGCAGGGAGAAGAAAGGAGAAACAAACATTAGGAACTTTCCTCAAGTGTAACTCAATTAGTTTTTTTTTTTTTTTTGGTACTGGGGATCGAACTCAGGGCCTTGTGCTTGCCAGGCAGGCATTTGTGCCACTGAGCTATCTCCCTAGTCCAACTCATTTTATTTTTAATCACTAAGGGAACTGAGGGATTAAAAAAAAATGCACGATTACCCAGCCATGTCTCTTTGTGATTGGTAGCAATATTCTGCGACTTTAATTAAAAAGTAGAATTCCCTGAACACTCATTACTTGTTTCCACTTTTTAAATGTGATTATTATTATTTATCTCTTACAAAAAGTTCATATTTCAGTTCCAGGAATGAAGGCAGCACGTGTACTCCTTATTCCTTACTCTATTTTAATCTGTTGTTAAAGGTGGGCACAGGCTGCCTAGCTCTCTTAAGAAACACCCAGCAGACAAAAAACAAAACAAAACAAAAAAAACATGCTCAGAGACAAAGGTCTATTCCAAAGCTAGAAGTGAAAACGAACCAAGCATTGGACATAGAAAGCAAGTTAAGAAATTTAGGTTAAAAAAAGGAGAGGACAGGGGGCCAGGGAGATGGCTCAGTAGAATAAGCACTTGCCTGGCAAGCCCAAGTGTCTGAGTTTAATCCCTGGTTCCGCCAAAAAAAAAAAAATAAAAAAAAAAAAAAGAGAGGACAGGACATTTGGCTTATATCTTCACACAGGGTAATAGAACCTACAAAATTCTCTTAGGGGCTTATATTTAAAGAATGAAATAGAACAGAAAGCATTTGGAAAACAATGCTGTAGGACGGTGGTGGCGAACCTACGGCACACATTCCGCACAGGCTGTTCGCCATCGCTGCTCTAAGTGCTCGGAAGCAAGCCACTTGCTTCATTGAGCTGGCAATAGATGGCATTATTGCTGAGCTCCATAAAATCAAAGCCATCTCAGTCATGACGAGAAAGGGCAGCAAACACCCAAAGCATTCACTGGGACAGGCCCTGTCAGCCATGGTGGTGTGGTGGGGCATGCCGTACCTGGGGAGGTGACAGAGTCATTCGCGGGCTCTGTGGCTGAGGCCAGGTCCGCAGAGGGGCTGTCTTTGCAGTCCTGGCACTGGGAGTACTGGTGTGAGTTCACACAGAGGGCATAGATGGCATATTTCATGGCACAGAAGCCCTGGTAGAGGATCAGACTCTGACACTGGATCAGGTCCTCAGGAACTAGGGCACCGGCAGAATCTGAATGGTACAGAGAAACAGGTAAACTTCAATTAAGGGGTTGGAGAGATGGCTCAGTGGTCTAAAGCACCTACTTGGAACTAGCTTAGCAAAGCATCAGGGACTGCAGTTCAATCCCCCAGCACCACATGCCAGCCCGCCCTGCCCCCTGGTGGGCTGAGCTGGCCATACACACACACCACACACTCTCTCTCTCTCTCTCTCTCTCTGTCTCTCAAATAAATAAAATATATTCTTAAGAAAAAAACTTCAATTAATGTTTTCAGGCATATGCAGTCAGCAGAGCTGGAGTGAAGAGGCTGTAGTGCTAGGCTCCTACCCACTCTCCCTTCTGTAATCGATCTTAGGTACTTAGACTTCAGAGCTATCTCCTGGCTT